GAGTGAGTGAATGAGTGAGTGAATGAGGGGGTGAGTGAGTGAGTGAGGGTGAGAGGGGGTGAGTGAGTGAGAGGGGGGGAGTGAGTGAGTGAGGGGGTGAGTGTGAGTTTAAAGCTTCTTTGTAAGGTATTCCAGTTATATCACAGCATGTCAGCTTAATGTGGGAGGAAAGCCTGAAGTGACGCAGGTCTTAGACGTTAAACACTTTGGAGAAACCCACTAGCACAGGTTATGGTGCTGACAAACCTAGAACATAATCGGGGCGAACTGGGATTCAAACCCATGATAACAGGTTTCTGGCATGCCCAAATGACTCTACACAGTCAAATGCAGCGTTGTTAACAACCGGGCCACCTGTGCCCCCCAGACTATGCATAACAGCATATTAGGCATGGACAGATTGACAACAACAATGAAACTTAGCATTGAGCCAAGGACAAATGCTTACATATCTGTATTGATGTCATATGTATTTTGCATTGGACACCCAGCCAAGAACATTATAATTAACTATATTATTGTTTGACCTGTTTACCAAAAGCTAAAAGTCTGAGACCAAGTGAAGCAAAACCCAATAAATGATGCCTTGTCAAATTTGTTGACATGGTGTCAAGCTTAATTGATAAAATCAAGAGATGATGCCATATAAGCTAAGAGTTTTCATGAAATTCTCTTGAAGATTGATCATTTAAAGTTTTATAGGTGTTCGGGCAACTAGGCCCATTTACACCTTGCCCATAATAAAGGTTTGCTAAGTACCTAGATATTTATAAACTAGTAAAACTGCCACACGCTTTAATATAAAAAGAAATTACGTTCTCAACGTCATGACGAACAATATTCATAGAACATAAAATACCCTTTAGAGAATGACAGACGATTAACTAAGGGAGATAACTGTGCTAAGGATGTAACACAAATACCAGTGTGAGGTCAACTTGACCTGTGGCAACAAGCAGACCCTTCTCCAGTCAATTTGTATACAGAAGGGGTGGTGGGGTAGCCGAGCCTTTGTATCGTACCGAAAACACGGGTTCAATTCCCAACATGGGTGCAATGTGTGAAACACATATTGCTGGATTATTGTTAAAAGCAGCAGAAAACCCTATTCACTCACACTCTGACTAAAGCTATCAGTCCAAAGCCTGAGTTTTGTAAAATTGTGTTTTTTTGGTTTTGTACGATCAACTTATACAACTGGCATACAATAACACTAGAATGTTGTGAAACTTGATGCTAAGATACAGTGTCTTCATTGCACAAATATCAGATTCTATGCACGTCTTGAGAAACATCCATAGTTTAGATAACTTTGTTGGCATGTACTCCAAATTCTCTTAGCTCTTGGTTCTGGCTTTTGATACAAAAAAATGCTTCAATAAACAGTTAAATGTATGATTCTGAAAAATTGCTGCCAGCAAAAAGCGAATATTTGATCTGCTGATAAACCAAAAACACATGTAAGAAAAAAAACATGTGAGCAGCATTAGAAATTTGCACTAAAGTACTCACGGAAATGAAAAAAACCTGTTCTTTTGATCTCAGATTTTAAATAAATGCAGTTAATATACAAAATATATAAATATTCAAACAACTCAATTAGTACTAATTGGGCCTTGGCACAAATACAGCGTATCAAAGGTTTTTATGTCTTTTTACACGTAAAAGTGTGTAAAAATATGAACAAAACAGACTATTGTGAAACTGAGCCTAACCAGGTGTTAGATCAAGGTGAATGTCCATGACCTATGACACCTTGACGACAGGTGAAAACAGGTGCTTGAAACCCACGTGCATGTGATTTGTCAGTGGTTAGTGATTTGTGAGTGGCATTGTGGGATAGTGAATCATCGTCAAAATATCAGAACATAAAAGTAACATATACCCTTCTCAAACAACAACTTACATGTCATTATTATTATGTACATAAACATAGCTGTTATTTTTATTGTTGTTTTGATAACTTTTTTTCCAGGCTAATTTGCATAATGCCTATAGCCTGTTTCTGCCATGTCAATTTGGACTTAGTTTTATTTTTGAATGTTGAAAGTGCCTACAAATTACCTCCTGTAAAGTACATTTTGTATTGAGCACTGAGATAAAACTAGCAAATCCAGACAAGTACTTTTCCAGTTGTTTTGTTATTTCATATTTACATCTACGTAATACTTTGTGTCGATTATTAAATGCAGCAAAACAGGTTTTTTTCATTTCCATGAGTACTTTACTTCTGTAGTCCTTGCCAAACTGCCCAGTAGTTAAGGTATCATAAAGACTAGTAGAAATTTGCCATTTTTAAGGATTTTGCTATATCATTTATGTTATCATTGTAAGGACTAGTGGACTAAACATGTTAGTCTTTAAGACTGTGTGGGTAGCGTAACTTGTAAACATTAGTTATACATTGTCTGTCTCTATTTCCAAACTGATAAATGAAAGACATTTAGTTAAAATTAATGAATGATGATGATGATGAAGAGTGAGTGAGTGAGTGAGTGAGTGAGTGAGTGAGTGAGTGAGTGAGTGAGTGAGTGAGTGAGTGAGTGAGTGAGTGAGTGAGTGAGTGAGTGGGGTTTTATGCTGCTTTTAACATTATTCCAGTTATATCGCGAGGCATCAGCTTAATGTGGGAGGAAGCCCGAAGTGATGCAGGTCTCAGATGTTTACCACTTCGGTGAAACCCACAAGCACGGGTATGATGCTGACAAACCTAGAAACATAATCGGGGCGAACCGGGATTCGAACCCACAATCATAGGTTTCTGGCATGCCCAAGGGATGCAACTCTGCACAGCGAATCACAGCGCTTTAGACGACTGGGCCATCCGTGCCCACTGATGATGAAGAAGATACATCTGTATTGTCTTTGTTCTTATGACAGGGTACAAGAGTGCCGAGGTAACTCAACATGTCATAGAAATGCATCCATGAAGTATGCGCATGAACTTCACACAGCTTGACATCAATCACATGTTAAAGGAGTCATTTCCTAATAGCACTACAGACTGATTTATATCACTATGCTTAATTGTCAATGTTTTAGAGAAATTCTCCATGTTCAGTGTCACCTAACTGACAAGAGGACAATCAGGAAGCGAATATATGGATGTCAACTTCTTTATTATGAGGAACACAACGTTTCGGAGTATATGGTTTTACGGTAATTAGCACTGATAGTTATAAGAACAATCACTTTGTATTTAACTCTCACAACTGGTTATTTAATTCTCTTTTAATACTTGTATGTATTGAGATTATCATTACATTTTGCAACAGGCTATAAGGTAATCTAGTCTGAGTGAAACTTTGAAATATTACCTTAAAAAAATCTCTAAATATTATTTTTAAGTATGAAATGTCAATCAGGTATGAGCAAAAACAAACCTTCTTTTCATATTTGGACTCCCAACTCTGTGAGAGAGCAATTAATTATTGTTTATGTTGCATACAGTTTGTTCTAAATAAAAGTAAATACAGCCTTTTCAGTTGGTTTAACAGCATAGAGCTTAACAAAAAAAATTGTTCACTAGACTCTAGTAGAGTGAGTGTGTGAGTTTGATTTTATGCCGCTTTTAGCAATATTCCAGTAATATCACAGCGGGTGACACCATAAATGGGCTTCACACATTGTACCCATGTCAGGAATCAAACCCGGGTCTTCGGCATGACGAGCAGACGCTTTAACCACTAGGCTACCCAACCACCCCTTTTGTTCATTAAACCTTATAATGACAACATATAGCAAAATCCTTAAAAAGGGCAAATTTCTACTAGTCTTAATAATATCATAGCTTAACTATTGGGCATGTGGCAAGGGCGAAAGGACTAGTGCCAATTTCTAACACTGGTATGGAAAATCATCAAGGCAGAAAAAAGACAGTTGACAGTCATCCATCACAACTTTCAAAGCCTTTGACCGTCAATGAGAAGTTCAACTTGAGGACATGGAACTCTTTCTTATTTTCACTTTGGGTTCAGAGTAAGGGGCAAACCATAGCCATCATACAGATGTGTCAATCAAATGCTGTTCCCTGTCTACATCCTTTTCAATCTAACATAAGGCTTTTTCATTTTCAGGATTTCTAACCAAGGGCAGGTAACTCTAACATGCCTTCCCCCACAACAAAGTACAAACTGGATTTCATGTCTCAAGTGTCTTGTGTTGTGTTTGTGATCCATCGGCCATTGAATCCAAAGAGTCAAAGTTGTAATGTCTTTTGATAGGCATGAAATTTCACAAGAGGAGGAAGCAAATGTTAATTTTATATTACCAGATTACCTACCAACTCTATTTGGAAAGTACATGCAATAAAAAACACAATGTTATGTTTAGACCTCAGACACATCAGTTTTGAATCAAATGCAGTTAACAGGTCTAGTTCGTTCCAACTCACATACTGATGTATAGCAGCATGAGTGGTTCAGGCAGTTTGTGACGCGCATTTTTATACATGAACATGACTTCAATGGACCGAGGAAATCAGGGAGATGTCCTGGGGAGATTTATCGAGCTATCCATAGAAGATGAAGTAACATCTAAGATAAAGTACATTAACTTGCTGAAAATGTCATGCAAATATGTCAACAAATATGTTACGAGATATATGAGTGAGTGAGTGAATATGGATTTACGCCGCTTTTAGCAATATTCCAGCAATATCACGGCGGGGGACACCAGAAATGGGCTTCACATATTGTACCCATGTCGGGAATCGAACCCGGGTCTTCGGCATGACGAGCGAATGCTTTGACCACTAGGCTACCCGACCGCCCACGAGATATATGAACTAAGTGATGATGTCATATAATCTTGGTTGATACATGCCATCGTATCCCAATTGCATAGACAAATGCTCATGATGTCAATCGCTGGAATGTCTGACCCAGACTTGATTATTTCCAGACCACCATCCATCACATGGCTGAAGTGCAGTGTTCAACAAGAAGCCAGCCAATGTATCTGGTTGTTACCGTAGTGTCATGTAACATTATAGATCTTACCTCTACTCTGTCCCCATCCCTGAACTCTTTCTTCACGCCACCATCTCGAGGGGGAAGACGCACTTGTGTGAACTTGACAGTACGTTCAGGTGTCCAGCTGAAAAAGAAAAGAAGTGTGTTGAATCCCACAACAAATTAACAAACTAACATTTTTTTACAAAAACAGCAGTCTGATGACTAGTCAGTGGTCATACAAGTAACATAGATTTTCTTGAGGAACTAAATTTCCACACAATAGTTACCTCTACTCAACACCAAGTTTCAAGCCTGCGCCTCAGCAGATTTCCAAGCAGACATCTAATGCTCAACAAAGTTGTTTATTGTTTCACAAAACACATGTTAAAATCCAAAGGTCAGCCTTCTCAGTCTGCCAATTTCAGAGATGAATATCGGAAGAATTTAAGAGCATTATAGTACGTTTTAAGAAGAAATGGCTGAACAGCGGGAATAAATAGGTTTTTCAATATAGCTGCCATGGTGGCCATTTTGAAAATTGGATTCGAAACTCTCGAACAAATTAAGGTGTCATCAATGGTTAGAACAGGCATGTGAAGTTTCAGGTTCATTGGTCAAGGTTTGTGAGGAGATGCTTAATGTGCAAGAAACTGCATCATCCATACATCTTCTCCTTATAAAAGGCACTTTGATAGAGTTTTGGATCCTGGTCCGAAGTGTGTAATAAAGGTCACTGTGCGTGGATCCCCACTACTAACTACACATAGACCATGTATCATTACATTTGGAACAAAAATGGCCACGTCATGACCATATGAAGTTTCAGCTCTCAGTATGGTCTAAGTGCAAAGGTGAAATCAAGGTCATAATCTAAATTATCGCAAGAAAAGAATATATATGAACCCTACTACTAACTACAAATTTACCAATTTCATTACAATTTGAACAAAAACGTCGAGTAATGGCTAGGGCTGCAACTATACAAGAAGGTCACAATACGACCTCGATACGCAACGATAAAAAACCCAGTACTCAAGTACTCCAGCATTTATTTAAGGCATGTTAGAAATAGACCTTTCATGATTTTGGAACAGTCACAATTATTTAATAATAACAAGACAACTTGTTAAGCTTCAAAAGTGGAACTTTCTCAGACTTTCTGTCAAAACATGTCAAATTTCAAAACAGCAGAAAACGTCAAAGTTCAAACACCAGAAAATAATCAATGTTTTTGAAAGTCTGAAAAGTTCATCTTTAGGTTCTTTTTCAGAAAAATTAAAATGTCAACATTGTCAGGGCCCAGTGATACCCCTTCTTAATGGAGGTGGGGTCGTAGGGGGTAGATGACCAACACAACAGTACATGCTCTGCCTACCTAACACGATCTACGATGTACATTTCAGAGTTTGAAAAAAGATTAGAATAATAGTTGTTTATGATTCATAGTGTAAAAAAATATTTATCGAGTGTTGTACGTTTTTAAAAAAAACACATCGTATCCTTTCAGCGACTACGGGTGAACGAACAGGAATAACAAAACTGGTCAATAAAAATAAGAAATTTGATATAAAACATCACCAGACATGATGATTTACCATTAAAATTATATTTCCTGCTCTCATAGGTATTGTTTACATGCAGAGTGAGTGTGAGTGAGTTATATTTTAAGCCGCTTTTAGCAATATTCCAGCAACATCACAGCGGGGGACACCAGAAATGGGCTTCACATACATGCAGAGATTAAGATTACTGTGTGTATTGTCTCGTAAAATAAGACATTATTGTTTTATAAGGAATAATATATTCCAATATCATGTTACTTTATTTGCAACTTTATATATTTAAAATCATAAGAACCATAAGTGTAGCACTTTGGTACAGATGATTCCAATTGCAGGTTATTTTTATGTACGAAACAATTTGACCAGTCATCGTAAGGACTTCCAAAGCTGAATGTATTTCATTTGCAAAAACGTAATGTTGACATATAATAGTCAAATTGCCACAAATATGTTTTTTGACGAGTCAAAGTATGGCATTTATAATATATATATATCAATTCTCTGGTAACTAAAGTTTGTTTCAAGGCATAATCTGACCGTGGTTGCTGTAAATAACGGTGAGTTGTGCGATCTACTGATCACTTCACACACGATTTCACTGAAATTAATGTAAACAATATTCAACAAAATTTTGAATAAGATCAATAAAATATATTACAAACATAAGTCCAGATACACGATGAACAGATTTTTTAACCAGATAGAAGAATAATGGGATTAAATGGCGTATTTCAGTTTAGATTTATTGACTGGTATTTCCGGTGTAACCGGCTCATGGTGATCAGCTGTAATGTTTTTTGATATGGGGGAAAAACATTGTGTCAGTGAAAAAACTTGCGCTGATTAAAAATGTAAGTTTTGGGAGCCATGCATTACCGCGCTCTATAACAGAGTTAGCGCTATATTGTAGGGTGCAATAACGAGGGAACACTGTACTAAAATGTGCATTCCGTATCGTGGCGAATTGATAAATAGACACCATGTGTATCGTTTATCGTGGGTCAAGTATCGGGATGCATCGGAATATCGGTGTATCATTTCACCCTTAGTAATGGCACTAAATAGCCTATTCTTTTTCAGCTTCAGTCGTCCAGTGATTACTGAGAAGAAGATGCTTAACTTTGACCTAAGTCAGGTGAGCTAAAAACATAAATGAAAAAATAAACAACAATACTGCCAACTTACTTGTTTTCAAACTCCACTGTAACTTCATCCTCATGAATATTTTTCACTGTTGCCTGCCACGAGAAAGAGAGATATGAGTGAATGAGTACATTTGTTTCTTAACACAATGGAAAGTATTTAGGTTGCATCATGGCATGACATAGGCAGGGCTCGACTTAGGATCTTGATGAAACTTACACAAGGTGCATGTTGACATGAAAACCTAGTTGCACCAGACAAAACAAAACCAGTTTGCACCATAGTCCCATAAATTCATCAAACTTGAAAAACAGATGCATAAACTGGTCAAAATACATACAATCTGAGATCTCTGATGACTGTCATGACTTAACTTAAATTAATTAAATATTGCTGTAAAACATAGGGCTGGCTATGGATATAGAAAATAGATATTGATAATCGCTAAATAAATATTGATCAATTATTGAGAAATATCGGAGAAGTAACTTTAAGCAAATAATATGCAAGAAAGTCCCGAGAGAAATCAACATATTTTACGCCACTGGTGAGCAGTGACACGTTTATGTATAGATTACTTTGTGGACATTGAGATATAATAAAAACAGCTGCTTTCCATCTTCGACATTTTACATCATTGACAATAACAAGTCTGTTTCGATAAATCTAAACTTAATTTCATTACAATAACTCATGTAAATTATTATCGTTTACAACTATTTCATATCGATAATCACTAATCAGCAACCCATGCTTGCCGTAAAAGGTGATTATGCTTGTCATAAAAGGCGACTAACAGGATCGGGTGGTCAGGCCCAATGACTTGAATGATGCATGTCATCAATCCCAATTGCGTGGAATCGATGCTCAAATTAATCACTGGATTGTCTGGTCCAGACTTGATTATTTACAGACCGCCGTCATATAGCTGGAATATTGCTGAGTGCAGCGTTAAACAACAAACTAACCAACCAAATCATATCGTTAATCATTAATATTTCTTCTCATCTACGATAATTCTGATTATCAATCTTTTTAGCCAGCCCTAGCAAAACATAATAGGAACATGCGCACATAATCTTGAAGTACCCACAGTCTGATGACGGCATCCCAAAAAAGTATGACAAATTAACATGAGGATTCACAGTGATGTATTATGGTAAATAAAGCTAAGAGGTATTGTGTGTGTTCAAAATCGATGTTGAGTGGAAAGGAAAGTGAAAGTCAGACACAAACTTAAATTTCTTTTTACATGCACTTGTTGCAAGTAGACATATATATAAGGTTGCATTTTTCAATAATAGGTTGCATTGGTGCATGTTTTACATAGCTATATCGAGCCATACATAGGTCACCCACATTTGGTGTATAAAGTCAGTGTGAATCTGGAAGTAGAACCAAGAGCAGACTCTAGTACAGGTTGAAGGCATTCCCAACCTTGAAAAAACACAACTGCCAAATCAAGGATCACAATCAGGTTTTTTAAGACTAGACCAGAGGACTCCGGGAAACTATTTCACGAGAGTTTGTGGCTAGTCCTGCTGTACAAGACAAAAATGTTTATTATGTTTACATTTTCTGTCATTTTATTCAGTTCCATTTTGTAGCAAACTTGAAACATTGAGAACAGTTCAGACTCATAACCCTTAAATGCTACTAGTCCATGTCATTTATACATACTCGCAAGTTGGACGTCTGGAGCCGTTTTCAGTTCGCACAATATCAGCCCCTTTTCTCACCACTCGATATCTTGTAGATTACGGAATGGGACGAGTGTGCCAAAAGGCATCGGGATCATTCGTAAGTGTCCGTAGGCTAAAGTCACGAGACACCATGCCTACCCGTAACCTTCGTAAGTGTCTGGCACCTATTCGACCCTTTTCGGTCAGTTCCGCAACGTCGTAAGCATGATTTGGTAAATTTGCACTGACTTTCACATCGGTTAGCTGTTGAGCTAACAATCTGAAGGTCGCGAGTTCGTGTCCGACGTATTCTCACAAAAACAGGTTGCTTGTCCATGTTGTCTTTGAGACATGTGACCTACCGCAGAGATCGTCCTTACGAGAACTTGTTGTACTGTATTCTAAAGGTGCTGCTTTTTTACAAACCTGATGTCTTGTTTGTTACACGATTTTGATTGGACTATGTATTGACTTGTTCGTCTAGCCAAAATGTAACTCCAGAATTCCAGCTTAGGGAAGATGACTTGATGTTGGATAATTCATGACTAGTGTTAGTATGGTTTAATGGCTGCTTCATTCATAGATATATTTCATCATGTGTTTTTTTTAAAAAGAAATCATTAAAGTGTTTTCCTTTTCAAACTCCTAACATGCCACTTAAACATGTTAAAGAAGCCACAATACTTACAATAGAAATCTATTGTTGAAATTAGTGCAGTAACAATCAGGACCAAGGTAATAGTGCCATCATAGTATAACAAAATACCTCCCTTGAAATTCATGGTGTATCACTATCAGAATTACACCAACCTGCTTTTGATACAAAGATGTCAATGTTTCCCCACCATTAAATGGAGAGAATGACATATTCTCATAATCTAACTTAGCTTGGGGAATGAAAGTATCAATGCTTTTAATTCATTCAAGTCGCGGTCATACTTCCTACATAAATTTTAATTAAAGAATCTTTTGAGCAACATGCAGAGTAATATACTAAGACGCCTAATTGCGGAAATTATATCTGACAATACAAAGTCAGTGTTTGAAGTAAGATAAAAACATATTTGCACAGGGTAAAGTCTAATTAATGGAATTGGAATATTGTTGTAGTTTAAGGTGTCTTCAACAAAGTAAGAAAATTGTAATTTGTTCATACTCTGTCGAGGCAAATTCACAAGAAAACAGAGGTGACATAAGATTAACAGCACACACTGGTACAGTACGTTCTTTATACAATTAGACACATCCTTTTCATCAAAATTGTTTACACATCACATTCAAATTGAAGGATATATGGTTGAATAACGAAACTTAAACATTGGCTAAGCGAAAGTCACACTTGATAGCATTTTAGACTCATCTACAACATTGTTTTTGACGTGACGATGAGTTGTTATGAAAATTTGGGAGTTGGAACAGAAACTGAGCCCCTGTGATGTCAAGTTAAAATAATGAAACAGTTCTAAAGAGGTTGATGGAATACTACAGAATTATGATATATGATACTTTAATATGATAAAATTCACGATCAGAGCATGCTCTTGTCGGTATTCGAAGAATTTCTTTTCTTGGAAGTTAAGAAAGCATGCCGGTTCAAACACCCATCGTTAAAAAATCATGAACTCTCAAAAAGTATCCATAATTTCGATAAACCACCATCCGGAAAAAGTGAATCTGCTTTCCAAATTGATTTCACAAAAAGAAGAGTTGAAACAGTTTTGGATATACCTTGTAATAGGCTCCACTTGGCCCGCAGACCTCTACCGCAAGGTCCTCCATTTTGGATGGGTGCGGACTTCTGGGAAATTCTTACTTTCGTCTTTGTAATAATGTGAGATCAATGCATGAATATTGTTCCAAATGCAATCAGTGTTATTTAATTACATATAAAAATATATATCATAATTATAACTGAAAAAGAGGCGTTTTTATTTTTCTCGAGAAAACTCGTCTTCATGGAATGTCAAAATGGCCGCCCACGGAGGATGAAGATGTGTTTGTTTATTATTTTGATGAGCTAATGTGGTACATACGGAGTACCAAAATTATTGGAACATAATGTCTTCCGACAGTGAACCAGATGAGTTTTTTGATGCCCCCGATGCTACGCCATACCAGTAAGAATTGTCCACATATCTACCTTTTATTAATCAGATGGCCTATTTATGGGTGGTCATCTGTAATCAACACTGACAACAGCATCATCGTCTGCAAGTTTAGGGATTGCGAGGGGTACCCTTTCCCTGAATACTTATCCTAAATCATTAAACATGTCATTCGCTTGTCAGACCACTGTTGACTTCCAGTCACCATGCAAAGAGGCCAGGGCTCAAGACATCTAATTGTGGAAAAATATTTCAGTTGTAAATGCGTTAAATGGTCAACTGGGAAATACAGTATTTTATTGAATGTGTCAATAGCAGGGTCTTCAAGATTTTACGATGTAAGAATTCAGGAAAACTTAACTTTACCGTGTTGCCCCTTTTCAGACTTCAATGAGCGACATGCGGAGAATCGAACTTGTGTTGCCAGCCTAATGTGTGTTAAAACAGGGTTTACAGGGCAAGCTAAATGAGACATCATACTGCAGTATTAACATGACCACCCCACTCAGACACAGTATAGTCTGGCTCTGTATTATACCTGTCACTATCATATAGCTGGAATACTGCTGAGTGAAACATGTCACTATCATATAGCTGGAATACTGCTGTGCAACATGTCACTATCATATAGCTCGAATACTGCTGTGCAACATGTCACTGTCATATAGCTGGAATACTGCTGAGTGCAACATGTCACTATCATATAGCTGGAATACTGCTGAGAGCAACATGTCACTATCAGTATCATATAGCTGGAAATCCGATGAGTGTAACATGTCACTGTCATATAGCTGGAACACTGCTGTGCAACATGTCACTATCATATAGCTGGAATACTGCTGAGTGTATCATGTCACTATCATATAGCTGGAATACTGCTGAGTGTAACATGTCACTATCATTTAGCTGGAATACTGCTGTGCAACATGTCACTATCATATAGCTGGAATACTGCTGAGTGTAACATGTCACTATCATTTAGCTGGAATACTGCTGTGCAACATGTCACTATCATATAGCTGGAATACTGCTGAGTGTAACATGTCACTATCATATAGCTGGAATACTGCTGTGCAACATGTCACTATCATATAGCTGGAATACTGCTGAGTGTAACATGTCACTATCATTTAGCTGGAATACTGCTGTGCAACATGTCACTATCATATAGCTGGAATACTGCTGAGTGTATCATGTCACTATCATATAGCTGGAATACTGCTGAGTGTAACATGTCACTATCATATAGCTGGAATACTGCTGTGCAACATGTCACTATCATATAGCTGGAATACTGCTGAGTGTATCATGTCACTATCATATAGCTGGAATACTGCTGTGCAACATGTCACTATCATATAGCTGGAATACTGCTGAGTGTAACATGTCACTATCACATAGCTGGAATACTGCTGAGTGCAACATGTCCCTATCATTTAGCTGGAATACTGAGTGCAAAATGTCACTATCATATAGCTGGAATACTGCTTTAAATGAACAATCTTAAATGAAGGGGTGGTTATTAAATGTAACAGTTAGTCAGTGCATCCTCAGCCACCACAGGGGTCACGGGTGGCCCAGTCGTCTAAGGCGCTGCGATTCGCTGTGCAGAGTTGCGTCCCTTGGGCACGCCAGAAACCTATGATTGGGGGTTTGAATCCCGGTTCGCGCCAATTATGTTTCTAGGTTTGTCAGCAACATACCCGTTCTTGTGGGTTTCACCGAAGTGGTAAACGTCTGAGACCTGCATCACTTAGGGCTTTCCTCCCACATTAAGCTGACACGCCTGTATAACTGGAATAATGTTAAAAGCGGCATTAAATCCAACTCACTCACTCAGCCACTACACCTTCGTGTTCTGCCATGCCTACGGGGCGGTCGTGTAGCCTTGTGGTTGAAGTGTAGGCTCATGTAGACCTGGGTTCAATTGCTGACATGCGTACAATGTGTGAAGCCCATTTCTAGTGTCCCCCGCCCTGAATTTGCTAAAAACCATACTCACTCACTCACTCACTCACTCACTCACTCACTCACTCACTCACTCACTCACTCACTCACATGCCTACAGGTGGCCCTGTGCTACTCCTGCTATTACAGGAGGTAACTTATATTAGTTCCTGTTCTATTTCAAGTGTATTGCGATCTCACAACTGACAGTTCAAGTATTGTGTGTACCTAAGTATTGATGATATCGCAGGTATAAGTGAATCTTTACAGCCCTATTACCTACTCATGAACTGGGGGCATGGGTGGTCCAGTCGTCCAAGGCCCCCACGATTTGCTGTGCAGAGTTGCATCCCTTGGACACTCCAGAAACCTATGATTGTGGGTTCTAATCCCGGTTTCTAGGTTTGTCAGCACCATACCCCGTGCTTGTGGGTTTTACCGAAGTGGTAAATGTCTGAGATCTGCATCACTTCGGGCTTTCCTCCTACATTAAGCTGACACGCCATGATATAACTGGAATACTGTTAAAAGCAGCGTTAAGCCCAACTCACTCACTACTCATGAACTTTGTGTGAACATCACCGCAAAAAGCTGCAAGATTGCAGACGCAACGTTAGGCAATAATCACTCACTCACTCATCGTCTTGACATGGAAGCAACATGAAGAGCAGATACTACATGTCTTGATGTCAAGAGAGAGACCAAGCCGTGTGTGATACAAACAGTCCTCGTTGGTTGGAGTTCTCGCTGGTACCCTCTCGCTAGAACCTTAGACACGTGAAGATCCGGGGTAGATAGGTCTTCAGCACCCATGCTTGCCGTAAAAGGCGACTATGCTTGTCGTAAGAGGCGACTAACGGGATCAGGTGGTCAGGCTCGCTAACTTGGTTGATCCATGTCATCGATCCCAATTGCGTCGATCGATGCTCATGACGTTAATCACTGGCTTGTCTGGTCCAGACTCGATTATTTACAGACCACCGTCATATAGCTGGAATATTGCTGTGTGCGGCGCTAAACAACAAACCAACCAACCAACGCTAGAACCTTGGTGTCACTAGGTGTCACTTGATTCGTTGGTTGAAAGTAATGACTACATACATAGTGGCAACATGTATCCATGGGTGATAGAGGAACATAGTGTCTGTGAAGTATTGTCTGTAAGCATGGCATGTCCAGGTTGATCCAGAATTGGTTTCTTGTCATTTAAACCCGTGAAGATCCGGGGTAGATGAGGTCTTCAGCACCCATGCTTGCCGTAAAGGGCGACTATGCTTGTCGTAAGAGGCGACTAACAGGATCGGGTGGTCAGGCTCGCTGGCTTGGTTGAAGCATGTCATCGATCCCAATTGCGTGGATCGATGCTCATGATATCCATCACTGGATTATCTGGTCCAGACTCGATTATTCACAGACCGCCGTCATATAGCTGGAATATTGCTGAGTGCGGCGCTAAACAACCAACCAAAAGAACCTTGGTGTCACTAGGTGTCACTTGATTCGTTGGTTAAAAGTAATGACCATGATGACTGAGTGCGGCGTAAAACAACAAACCAACCAACCAACCAATCATGTCATTCAGTTTGGAAGAGTAGGGAACCTCATTGCAGCCTTTTAGCAATATGGCAGTTGAAGCACAACCAACATGAAAAAGTGAAAACAGTTTATCAATGAATGTGGCCATAACTAACATTTAACTGATTACTTGTCTTTGCAGATCATTTCAAACTGATACACCACAAAATATTACCACAGATGAAGTGCAGGCCACGGTGAGTCACTCAGTCTTGTCTGTTTGGGTTTATCCATTGTGTTAATGACTTGTTATTGTGCAGTGTTTTAATATTCAAGGACCTATGGATAACCTTTGATTGCTTTTTATAGAAAGAACAGGTGATGAAGTGTTTTTTATCATTAGTGGCGTTATTAAAAGCAAATTGTCTGTTTATGATGCGTCAGAAATGTTAGCAGCCAAGTTGGACCATGTTTTCCCTGACTCGAGTCGAACATTATCTGTTTTGTCCGATCTAAACCTAAAGCAGGAAATTTGCTACAAATCAAGGCTTTTATTTTAAAATGGAGATGTATTTATGTATCACAAACACATCCCTCCCTTTGAGAAACCTTTTTGTAGATATTTACCTTTCTTTCTGGTTGTCAGGCATGGTGACTTGTTTAATTGCTCATGATATCAAGCACTAGTTTGTCTGGGCATGACTTGATTCCTTAAAGGCTGCCATGATATAGCTGGAATAGTGATGACAGCGGACTAAAGCAATGAACAACAAGCATTATATCGATAGTCACATTGAAAATGCCTTGCATATGTTACAGTTATCTGAAATAGAAGAGGAGGAGAAAAGGCTCTTGGAGCTGAAGAAAGCTGCAGAAGAAAGGTGTGTATCGTTGTCATCTACGCAAACTGGTCATTCACCAGACACCAGACCTTGCGCATACTCTCAGTCCAGGGATTTATTCAAGATCCTAAACTGCACCTGGCTGGAAAAGGGGAAAACATATATATTTTGTTCAAAAGTGGGATTTTTTAATGTTCTAATTTTCTTAAAGTCAGTATTTTAACATTGTATTGTAAGATTGTGTTCCATGCAATGATATAAAACTAAGCATTGAAACCTCTTCCTATGTATTGGTCCTATTTACAGTGAGATACAGGTTCACTTTAAAAAGCCATGAAATTAGTCAATAGTTACATATATTAACATGAATCGGGTCATTATTAATTCCAGTATGGGTATTTTAAATGTCATTTGCTGCAGATTTGGGATGGATATCAACCTCTGAACAGGTTAGGATAAATCACTGCAGTCACTGGGTTGGGTGGTCCAGGTTCAGTTATTTACAGACTGCCTTGATATAGCTGCAACGTTGCCGACTGCAGTGTTGAACAACCTTCACTCACTCAGTACATGTCAGTTATTCCAAGTTGGCAGAAAGTAGGGGCTGTCCACCTTCCTAGTTTATCATTCCTTCAGAAGGGGAATGGCTAAATGCTTGAACTATTTCATTAAATGTTGCACAAGCAGCCACCAGTTGCGAAGTGGGATCAATCAGTTACTGTTTGAGTGGTCGGAAGCCTAACCTTGAGAGTTATTAAGAAAATTAGTCAGATTGGTTGATAGAAATAATGCTGTTGTTCTTAGCTACAAGTATCAGGAGTATAAGGCCACTGATTTCTGTTCTAAGGTTTACAGTTATGTTGGATGCTTGCTATTGCTGGACATATTAATGTATTCTCTTCTATCCAAGAAGGCTCTGTTCTTATACAAAACAATAAACAATGCATTTGATCAATTATTACAAAATAAATTAAATGTATCCTTCAGTTGGTCCAATCCCTGAGCCCACAAGGGGCAGTCGGTTGGCCAAGTGGGTAAAGCATTCGCTCGTCACGCCGAAGACCAGGGTTCGATTCCCGACATGGGTACAATGTGTGAAGCCCATTTCTGGTGTCCCCGCCGTGATATTGCTGGAATATTGCTAATAGCAGCGTGAAACCATACTTACTCACTAACCTAAGCCCACAAATTAAGATTCTAAAAGGCACTGTTATAACAAGTTCCTCCTGTGTGAAGGCTGATGGACACACTTTGAACAAAGCCCTGTGATGCTGTATGTTAGCTAATACACATAGCCAGTGGTACATGTTCTGTTGGAAAGGTGAGATGAGGTGAAATGGGGATAACAACTCATTCATGATCATTGCATGTATATAGCAATGTGCGTGTACTAGGCAAGACTAATGCTGGTTTTATAGTGCTAGCCCATTGAGATACCATGCCACAGTTTAACATGAATACCCCACTCAGACACAGTATACTCCAAGACAACCAGTCCTTGTTTTATTCCCTTAAATCTGAGCGCCAGACATGGTAACAACACGTACCATGTTTTAACACCTTTTAAACATATTTCTACATGATGTGGCCAGGTAATCGAATCACCAAACTTCAGCTCTCAAGGCAGACATTCTATGCACTTTCCCTGAAAGAAAACTCCCATTTGTAAACAAGGATTAAATCTATGTGAAGTACAATGACAGAAGAAGGAAAAGACTTTTTGAACCAACAGCTGAACAGATCCTATTGTTTGTATTGTTGTAGGCGTCGCCGGGAGGATGAGGCGCTGCAGTCTCGACTACATGAGCTCCAGAAGAAGAAGGAGGAAGAGGAGAAGAAGAGTGCTGTAAGTGTAGTGATTGATTTCCATTGTCTGCAAGCCGGAGTCTGTTTGTCTTGTGATATCCTGACAGCATGTAGAATTTCAGGGATATCTGTTATATGTTATATATCTATTTTGTTATCACTATTTGGGCTTGTCATTTCTACTTAAGTCAAGATATGTTATCACAATACTTAGTTTGCTTCACTTTTTGTAAGAAATTCTTAATGTTCCTTGTATCCCGGCTGACCAGAGGTTGTTGGTCATAACCCATTTGTCACCCACCATATTGTCAGATACCCCATATTGTCAGATACCCCATATTGTCAGATACCCCAATTGTCAGATATCCCATATTGTCACATACCATATTGTCAGATACCCCATATTGTCACATACCCCAGTTGTCAGATACCCTAGTTGTCAGATACTCCATATTGTCAGATATCCCATATTGTCAGATACCCGATATTGTCAGATACCCCAATTGTCAGATATCCTAGTTGTCAGATACCCCTTATTGTCAGATACCCCATATTGTCAGATACCCCATTTGTCACATACCATATTGTCAGATACCCCATATTGTCAGATACCCCATATTGTCTGATACCCTATTTGTCAGATACCCCATATTGTCACATACCATATTGTCAGATACCCCATATTGTCACATACCCAAAATTGTCAGATACCCTAGTTGTCAGATTAATTAATTAATTTGTTTGCAGATACAGAAACAAAAAGTTAAGGATGCTGAAATCAGACGAAGAAAACTGGAGGAGATGAGGGAAATAATCGGTGTGGAAAGTACTCCAGGGAAAACTTCCCAGGATTCCTCACAGGAAGAGGAAATTGTGGATGACAACGAGGACAGCCCTGTGAAAAGCAGTAAGGGTTCACCTGTGTCCAAGAAATCCAACACTATTGAGAAAATGGAGAACAGTTCGGAAGAGAAATCCACCATGCTCATTCATAGTCGACGTCAACGTTCGGGATCATGGGGAGACTTGCCAAAAGACACATCTGTTTTGGTGATTCAGAGAGAGGATTCTGATTCCAAGCTTAGCACCCTTCAACAAAATATAAATGTGTTTCATCCTGTCAAGGAAACGGGCGTAAAACTGTTAGATTCAGATTTAAGTGACGATAATAATTCTTGTGAGATTGAGACGTTGCAAGTGGTGGATGATGTGATAAAAGACAGTCAGTTATCTGGGGATGAGCCTGATATTATTAAGAGCACTAAAACAAGGACCCCACCGAATACGTTGTCTCAGCCAGTGGCGCCCCCTAGGAGGAAGAAATCCGGTAGACCTGACGTGAGTCTTTGTTTTCCCAATATTAACAATGTAAGAATGTGCTTCTGATGCTACTTTCCCAGTTCATGATTGAAGCCTACTAGTTCCAAGCCTGAATATTGTGTAAGGGAATTGTCTACGAAGTTCAACTGTCCATATACATCAGCGCCAAAACTGAATAACGGGATCGGGTGATCGGGCTCGCTGACTTGGTTGATGCATGTCATCGATCCCAGTTGTGTGGATCGATGCTCATGATATTAATCACTGGATTGTCTGGTCCAGACTCAATTATTTACAGACCGCCATCATATAGCTGGAATATTGCTGAGTGTGGCGTAAAACAACAAACAAACAAACAAACCAAAACTGAATATGACACCAAATGGCAAGTGTGCTTTGAATGTGTTTGTCACAAACTTGAAATACACTGCTTAGAAGTTAAGGATCAAACTTGTACAAAATATTTGCAGTCACATTTTTATCTAACTTGCAATATCCTTATGAAGTTTTGCATTTGCTTAAATTTTTGCAGTTTGGGTAAAGAATGTTGGATTTGACATTATATTTACTGATTTGACAATATTGGGAGCCTTTTAGAGACTTCTCCTTTCACAGCAAAAAATGGCATGTTTGAAAAAACACATCTCCAACAAAATTGCCAGGTCCCCCGAATAGTTTCTGGTTGGCTCTTTATCCATGTTATAGTCTGTTGTGAGGGGCGGTCGGGTAGCCAAGTGGTTGAAGCGTTCGCTCGTCACGCTGAAGACCCGGGTTCGATTCCTAACATGGGTACAATGTGTGAAGCCCCTATCTGGTGTCCCCCGCCGTGATATTGCTGGAATATTGCTAAAAGTGACGTTAAACCCTTCTCACTCACTCACTCACTCACTTGTTATAGTCTGTTGTTAATTTCTCAGATTTGTAAACAATATGATGCAATATGTTGTTTAGGTATCTAGAGATAATAAACAAATCTTTTTTTGCAACAACCCCATCGCATCACTCATGTAGAAAGTTGTGTATGCCATTATTTTACCAAACTTGACAGAATTTGCATAATATTTAGTGTGTGGTTAGTTTGATTCGTTTAGATCACGAATTGTCTGATTGAATCTTTCTACCTATAACTGAATGTTTAGCTCACATGACTGAAAGTCAAGTGAACTTTCAACTTGACTTTGTGCGGTGTTGGTTGCGACAATGTCTGTCATCATCTTCTCAGAAACCATTGGACCAATGAAGCTGAAACTTCGAATGCCGCTCTTGTTCCAGCCACTGACAAAGTTTGTTAGTGACCGTGTTTTTTTGCTTTTTTGCTTTTTAAACTGTTGACGATATATCCAGGGTGAGCTACAGTGCCATGGCACTATTTTTATCCTGACAGAGCAGCACAAGTGGGTCATCAGGTGCTAACAGTCTAGAGTTACCTGCCCCTGCCAACATCAGTGGTCATGCTTCACAAGATGAACAGTCTCTAGATCTTCGTCATATGATCAGAGACAAGGGTGCGCGGCACATCTTGGCAGAGGTAAGAATTGAAGGATATGTATGCCAGGTGCCTAATCAAAACAAAGACATGTTTGGAACATATTTGCAATTCAGTTTGAAAGATGGACAACCCTATCGTGGACTTCTCCAATGTCCATGTTGGCACACTGCCAAAGAGCACTTTTTTATATAATAACAACAATACTTTGTGGCAAACTTTATGATGATGTGGGAGGTGCCTGAGAACCAAGACTATTATTCTTTTTATCCCAATGAGACGTTTATATTTTCAAATATGAGACCAGATTTTCAGGAAGTTTTTTATAGTGTTTATACCGTATGAAATATAAAACATCATGCAGAATTGCTGTGAAGTATGTTTCGCACTATGTATTGTATCGTGAACAAGGTATCGTGATACATATTGTATCAGGAGATAGTCGTGTTGTGACATCCCTATAAAGAACCAATATGTGTAACAGTATACGAAACTATATGGACACAGGTATATGTATAACTCACTCACTCACTCAGGGGGCACGGGTGGCCCAGTCGTCTAAGGCGCCGCGATTCGCTGTGCAGAGTTATGTCCCTTGGGCATGCCAGAAACCTATGATTGTGGGTTCGAATCCCGGTTCGCCCCGATTATATTTCTAGGTTTGTCAGCACCATACCCGTGCTCGTGGGTTTCACCGAAGTGGTAAACGTCTGAGACCTGCATCACTTCGGGCTCCCACATCAAGCTGACATGCCGCGATATAACTGGAATATTGTTAAAAGCGGCGTTAAACCCAACTCACTCACTCACTCACTCACTCAAGTCCCAGATTCATCTTTGGTTTGTCATCCCCATGATTGTGACTTGCCCCGAAGTAGTAAATGTTTACGACCTGCTTTGTTTGGAGGTATGACAGTGTTTGACACTGACCAAATTTGTCAGTTTTCCAAAGGATCATCACAGAATATAAATACTGATCTTGTTGGATCGCTACAAGACACAATGTTGCTGACCAAAAATGTTTATATATCAGATATTTTGTCATGTTCTTACAACAAGTGAGCGTGTGTAATAAGAAAGAGAATCATGACAAGTAGGTAGCCACTGCACCACACAGGGTTGTTCAGGCTGCTGGTTTTGCTTGGAGTTTAGTGTCGATCTGTTGCTGACTTTGACTTAAAAACTTAGATTACATTGTTATTTCACTTTGTCTTTTCATGCCAAAATTAACACTAGACCACCAGACCTGCATTTATTTAATTTTATTGGTCCTTAAGGAAATATACTGGACTCGGTCCAGCGGACCAGTGTGAGTGTCGAACAGTGTATAAAACCTATTCTGTTTTAAAGATGGTTCATCATGATTAAACAAAGCTAAATGTAACTTGGACTCCTTTTCTTGCGCATGTATTCAGTGCAGTGATTTGGTCAGAAGCTCAAATTTACTAAAATTAACCATCATCCTACAAAGCTGGCAGGGGGCATGGGTGGCCCTGTCATCTAAGGCGCCACGATTAGCTGTGCAGAGTTGTGTCCCTTGAGCAGCCAGAAACCTATGATTGTGGGTTCGAATCCCGGTTTCTCGGTTTGTCAGCACCATACCTGTGCTCGTGGGTTTCACCAAAGTGGTAAACGTCAGAGACATGCATCACTTTGGGCTTTCCTCCAACAATAAGCTGACAAGCTGTAATAAAATTGGGATACTGTTAAAAGCGGCGTTAAACCCAACTGTCTCACTCAAAGCTGGCACACCATGTTATGACCCAGGTACTGTTCAAAGTTGCATTAATCGTCTGTGTTTACCCATCAGGATGCTGAGTTGGATGCTGTGAAATCCGATGTGGAAATGCCAGATGACATCCCGGTATTCTCTCTCCATGAAGCCACAGATGAGGAATTGTTCGAGGACAGTGATGATGAAAAGAAAGGCAAGAAAAAGAAATCGGACAGAGTCAGACGTCAGAAGTCATCGGAAAGTAAGAAAGACAGTCCTAGAGATCATCCGTCTTCTCCCGAACAGCCAACAGGAGGCAGACCACGTTCCTCCTCAGGCACCCCCCTCACTGATGATGTGAGTACACTGCTCTGTTGTTCTTGAATAATACCTATCTACTTATCTGTTTGTCCCCAGGGTGCCACAGGGCAGTCATAAACATAGTTTGATTTGCGTTGTTGTATTTGAGTGTGTTAACACAAGGAGGCTTTAGGCATGTCTGTCCTGTTTGGTTACCACTGACTGCATTCACTCATCCAAAGAAGTTAAAGAACACTGATTTTTTCTCATTTGACTATAGTCATGATAGTTGCAGTGTCTGAAATAACTAGGGCGGTCGGGTAGCCTAGTGGTTAAAGCGTTCGCTCGTCACGCCGAAGACCCGGGTTCGATTCCCGACATGGGTACAATGTGTGAAGCCCATTTCTGGTGTCTCCCGCCGTGATATTGCTGGAATATTGCTAAAAGCGGCGTAAAACCATACTCACTCACTCACTCACTCTGAAATAACTTGGGCTGTATTAACCAGAGGCTGAAGTGCTGCCTTTTGCTATTGTGGGGGCCGGGGGGATTTGTCATCTTTGTCATTCTCACGTAGTTGTTTGCATTATTTCAACTGAATCAAGATATGATTTGTCTCATATCTTTTGCAAATTTTCAATATTTATAATGTCTGAATGCAGGCAGGTAACTTTGAAGATGGGCAGGCAACACTTATGGGTCACTTGCCTACTGTCTTGGGTTTTGAAATCATTTCATACACTGTGTAGTTGATCGGTCATGGCTGGTGGGTATTGCAACACACAGCCTTCCAGTTGTGGGTGTTCTTTAACTTGTTTAAAGTAGTATATAATTAACATAATGACAAGCTGTCACTTTCTACAATTAGTGCACTTTGTGAAGCATCTAATTGTTTTTGGACCTGCTTCAAGTATTGACAGACAGTTCTCAACCCCTAAGCCAGTTCTTAAATGACAAAATTCTTCCACCAATAGACATGGTAGCATTTGAAGTAATAGTTCCTTAATTGTTCCCACAGACCTGTCAACCCTCCCGCATTTTGCAGGAGACTCCCGCAATTTGATGAAATCTCCCAGTCTCCCGCATGATGGACTATTTCTCCCGCAAAACAGAATTCTTCATTATTTTAAAATATAGCCTCCATTGTCCCGTGAGTAAAACGAATGAACGGGAAGTTTGCGTCCCGATCTGTCCGGTAGGCTCCCGGATTAGCGACCCTTATCACAGCCACCCGCAGGGGGACCCAGATGGGCCTTTGTCCAGTAATCAACTGGTAATTAAATTCATATGGTGAATGATTGAACAATGTAAACTGTTAAGAAAACTCGGATAGTCCTAACAGGTGCCTGAATGGTTGAACTTGAAATGAAAAATCAGCCAAGTATTCATCACTTGATGAAATGAATTGTTGTCTTCATGTTCTTAGCGTGTTTATTCTTCCATAATTTAAGAATGTAGATACATATGTCCGGTCCAGTTATACATGACTTTATTGGTTATCAGATTTGTCAGAAACTTTGTAAAAACATCAACATACCTCAAAGTTACGTCATTGAACTCTTGGAAATGAAAACAAAATATGTCCTGCAAGCGCCGTCTTCAGAAACAACACTATGCGTGATTGGTTGATTCGGTAGTCGAAATAACAATGAGTTACACAATAAGGCTTCCTCACAGCTAGTGTTTCAAAGTCAAAGTTTAAAGTGAAACTTATATATTTCCTTTTTACTGACATCGTGACTCGTGTGCACAGAAAATATCAAAATAGAACTTTATCAAATTTCGCGAGAATGTATCATGTGATTATTTTTACACGATTTGATTTGCTAATAGTTTGCTTGCGTCCCTGATCTGCAATCTAATTTGCATACAACAGTACTAGTCAACCAATGAGATTAATACACGTCAAGGTCAGAAAGGTCAACGACAACGAGACTCATTTCATTCATAAATTGTAGTAAAACGTAATAGTACTTCCAAATATGGCATACATTTCCGCAGACTACCGCAGACAAAAAAAACCAGTATATCTTATTGAAATTAGGGGCGATGATGTTGCATCAGGATAAATGGATTTGATATTTCTTTGGCGAATTTTGTAACCAACATTGCGCCAAACACTCAGAAAACCTGCATCGTAATGAAGCCTGACAACTGGTCGGATTGAACACGTCGTCAACTGGTCAAGCTACCGATTGTGAAATTTCAATATCTGTTTGCGTTTATCTGAGATGATCTTTGAACAAAAGTGATATGGGTAGATTGTGCTGGGTTTATTTTTGGAGGAGGAAAATGCAAACGGAAATTAAGCAAGCTGTACGTATAAGAAACTTATTGATTATTTATTGTTTCAAAATATTTGGTTTTCTTAGTAACATTATTAAAAATTAAAGTTGGAAATTATCTTATCTTCACTATTTTATAAATCTCCCCCTTTGGAGGCAAATCTCCCCCATTTTGAAGTCAAATCTCCCACATTCTCATGATGAGGGGTTGACAGCTCTGTTCCCATGCATGGTATGTGATTCTATGTCTGGTGAGGGGGCACGCGTGGCCCAGTCATCTAGGTTACACACAACCAAATGTTTTCCCATAGACTTCTATAGTAATGTTATATTTTTTTTTAAATTAACTAAGCATTCAACAGCTATTACCTGTACGTGTGTGCACAGTTTGGCCTTAGGGCAGCAATAAAAACAAAACAAATGAGTAGCTTAGCCAGCTCCTTTTCCAAGTAGAGGAAGCTAAACACACCACCCCCAGTTCTGCACCAAATGTCGCCTACTTGAAAATATCTGTGGTCACATTCAGCATAAGTCATCATCTAGAAAAAGACAGTACTAAATATAGAAAAACATGGTCAGTTTTAATAACTGGATCGATGTACATTTAAAAGACTTAAAAATCTTACACAATATCCTCCAATCACAGCCTGCAGATATCTCTCGATCTGCACTGAAGACTCCCTACGAAAACTGCACTGTCCCAACTGGTTCTGATTTCGTGTAGTAGAACCTGTAAGGCGCCGCAATTTGCTGTGCAGAGTTGCATCCCTTGTGGGTTCAAATCCCGGTTCACCCCAATTATGTTTCTAGGTTTGTCAGCGCCATACCCATGCTCGTGGGTTTCACCGAAGTGGTAAACATCTGAGACTTACATTACTTCAGGCTTTCCTCCCACATTGAGCTGACACGCCGTGATATAACTGGAATACTGATTTGAGAAGGTGATGTGTCACATAGGTACATTGTAGGCTCATTAGCCATTGGCTGCATGCACTCTCATACGATGACAGTAGATGTAACATGAAAGAAACTGTGAGAGCAACAACAAGATGACAGTCTGCAAAATACATAATGGTCTACAAAAAGCTTGACAATTGAAATACAAGAAAAAGGACCATTTATGTAACCATACAAATAGTTAGGTATTAGGACAAGTATCAAGATGCACCAATCTCATTACGATCCAAGCTTATACTCCGATACGATACTTGTCTGCATGAAGATCTGAGCACATCGCCATAGGATCACGTTAGTGAACCTTTAACCAAATTTTACGACACAATCTAAAGGAAGGATAGGTAGGTTCTGAGCCAATCAGAAATCAGCTTTCTGAAGCGATTTGTCCTCCATGGCAGTCAGTCATTGCTCAAGTTGTCTCTTACCGTGATCATCACTTGCTGATCTGCAGGAAATCCTGGCACTGGTGATGGTGAAGAATCTCGACACAGGGGAGACGATCCCACTTAACCAAGCCGAGGAACACCTTCCAAAATGTCTGAATCCTCTTGACCTTCATATAGTCCAAAGAACAAAGGAATTCAGCACGTAAGTCTGGCAATACCATATTTAAAATGAATACCATATTTAAAGAACTGAAGATCGGTGTACAATTACTAAGAATTTGCTTTTTTATATAGATTTGATTAGGGGTGAATAAATCATACACTGATATAGTCATAAAAGACTCCTGCAAAGGCCTCTCTTTTTAATCAGATTTTTCAAAAACAATCTCATGGCCAGTCTTTGAAATAAGAAGGAAAAGACATTTTGAAAACATGATATGCTTATGCACTCTCTCAATATCTGTTGATTGGGTGAACCTATAAAGAATGAAAATGTGTTTTAAGGAAAGGTGAACATTATTAGTTGATGCCATTCATTTATATTCCCACAACAAGCACCTGCAGTGTGTACTATTGTTGCATGTTTTAGCGATGGCCACAATGCAGGCACACAGTCCGATGAGGATGACAGGGCGTCGCAGGTCGGCTCTGTGGCCCAGCTCGGACAGGGAGCTCGCAGGAAAACGTTAGTATTTTATGAAATACTGCCATTGATGCTTCTCCATAATATGTTTGCAATTCTTTTCAAAGTTTCATACTATGAAGATCAAGTGTGACCACCAAATGTTATAGGCATGCTTTGATATACTCAACTGATCAATGACCTTTCGAGCTTGAATCATCCTGCTTCATCTATTCTTATAATCACTGGGATTTCAGTCACTGACTTGGTCGCCAGTACCTCATGCTTGTTCTACAAGTGGACTAAAATGAGAATCAAGTGGATATAATGGGGTCTGGCTGATTGTGTGTCATCATATCCTGACCACATTCATAGTTATGATTCGACCGACCCTTTGGTATGTCTGAAACCTATGATCGTTGCTTCGAAATCAGGTTCGCCCTGATTATATTCTAGGTTTGTCAGCACATACCCACACGCTCACTCACTCACTCACTCCAACCATCCAACCATCCAACCATCCAACCACCAAAAAACCAACCATCCAACCACCCACCCACCCACTCCTTGTGATAAACTGTTACCTGGAATATAGCAGGAATGTTCTGGTAAACAGTGATGCTGAAATTATTATAAGACAAATGTATGTTGCAACGAACAGCCTTTTTATCCCCCGCCGGGCCAGAATGGCAGAAGGGGGATTATGTCGTGGCGCAGTCCGTCCGTCTGTCTGTCTGTCTGTCTGTCTGTCTGTCTGTCTGTCTGTCCGTCTGTCCGTCCCACAGAGGGTACTAAGCTTGTGAAATCAACTCCTCCTACAGTTTCCAGAGAATATCCCTGAAACTACACACAAGATGTCGACATGTTGATGATACGCATATCGCAGTCCCGTTTCATTTTCGACTAATTTTGACAGAGTTACTGCCCCTGTTTTACGGAGCTTCATTTGCCTAATTGTGAGAGAGGGTACTAAGCTTGTGAAATCAACTCGTTAAAAAAATTCATGCTGGGGATGTTGTGCTCTCAGAGCACTCTTGTTGAACTGAAAGATGCTGAGAACCTTGTCATGTTGCAGGAAGAAGCTGAGGCGGCTTTTCGGAAAAACCATCAGTAAAGTGAAATCTGCCGCCGATCATGGTAAGTGGTATTCAAATATGGAAGATACTTGCAGTTGGGCTGGAACGGGTAACTGGGGGACTCAGGTCAGTGGGTACTGAGTAGGACCTGGGCCCCGTTCCTCAAAGCGATCTTAGTGCTACAGTGATCGTAAGCCTATGTTAAAGTATGGGACTTGCGATCACCTTAGCGCTACGATTGCTTTGAGGAATGGGACCCTGGGCACCAACAGGACTACCTGGACCCATGGTTAGTCACGTGATATACTGTTTAGTGACAACAATTATCTGAAACCCTATGATTACACTACAAGTCACTAATATTCTCACTTCTTTCTGACTACGCACCCGTTCCTTCTTACTTTTATATGTTTAAATAAAGAAAAAACTTCAGTCATCTTCAGTGTATGTATGACCAGATTGTTTTATATGTGTATCTAAATACAATTTGCCAGGGCTACGGTAAAACCTTTCCTAATCGGACATCTCTTGAGACCTGTAGCGGGTACCCGGGTAGGGTCGGGTAATAGGGGGATGGGTACCCGGATAGTAAATTTGGACTCATCCCAGCCCTAACTTGCAGTGTTATACATGTTTATTACTGATAGGATGTAATGTTTCTAGGATACATCAGTTAATTTTAAATACAATAAATTTGGTCCACAATGACTCATATCGATGATTGACCGGAACTGAGTGTTTGACTGTTCTTTCTGTGCTGCCATGACAGTGTGCGACATGCTTCATATCTTCGATAGCTGGACCTCAGGGTGAAACATGCTTGCCCGAACACACTGTCACCCTTATCGGAGTAACCAGTGAACATACCGGGTAGAATAGGTCTTCAGCAACCCATGCTTGCCGTAAAAGTAAAAGGCGAATATGTAGTAAGAGGCGACTAACGGGATCTGGTGGTCAGGCTCGCTGACTTGGTTGATGCATGTCATCGATCCCAATTGCGTGGATCGATGCTCATGATGGTAATCACTGGATTGTCTGGTCCAGACTTGAATATTTACAGACCGCCGTCATATAGCTGGAATATTGCCAAGTGCGGTGTTAAACAACAAACAAACTTATCAGTGTAGCTGCCCTTGAACGCCCTGTTACTTCAAGTTGCCAATGTGTGTAGATATTGGGGCTGGGATGGGTAACTTGGGTCGGGTGACTTGGGTTGGGTGGGTCTTAAGTAGGACCCGTGTACCCATAGTACCACCCGATCCGTGGTTAGTCACATGATATATTGTTTAATAACATTAACAATAAAACAAGTTGCAAGTTAATCAATTCAGTACTTTCTGACTGTGCATGCATTCCTTCTGGCTTTTATATGTTTTAGTAAAGATGAAGCTTCAGTCAACTTCAGTGTCATGATCAGATTGTTTTATACGTGTATCTAAATAGATTTTGCCAGGGCTCCAGTAAAACAATTCCTGATGGGACGTTTTGTTTCCAACTAATAGACATGTCTTTTCTAAGTGATGTCCTACATATGTTGTTGTTGCTTTGGGGCCTTGTGGTTTCTTGTTTGCATTTTTTAATTCACCTGCCAGGGTGAGGTCAGGCAAGCTGTTTTCAACCTGTGGCAAGGAAATCAAAGATATTAGGCAAATTGCACAATGTCATACCAGGTTAGGTACCCGGTATATGATATGCGGAATATTCAGATTCCTGTATTCTTCATAAAATTCATGTTCTTACAAAAACCTTAAATGCCCTCTAACAATGTCTAATGCTTCTCAGAAGAGTCAACTAAATCTAGCTGTCAGGATTGCGAACTTATTTTTGTTGCATCTCATCCTTACCAAATGCTGTTGGATGTTGCTCATGATATCAACCACTGATAATTTAAGGCATGACTATTGTAGACTGCAGTGTAAAACAACAAACAAACGTTGTTCGCAGAGCTACGGGTATATCTTGACCCCAATTTGTCTCATCTCCACAGTAAATGTTGTGTAATTGACACAGGTAAACATTTTGATAAGGATTGGATTAAATAGGGGAAAAAGCAATTTAATCATCCACATGCCTTTTCGAAAATGAATTGTGATCTCTACATGAGATTGTGCAGGTTATTGAACTCACTCACTCACTCACTCACTCACGGCTTCTGTTGGTGCAGCTCTGTATGGTGATGAAGCTGGAATTGAAGCAGACTTTCCATCTGATGATCAGATCTTTAAGGTACAGTGATTCAAATAAACTACTTGTGTTCAAATTTTCTGGACAAGAATTGGTCTTCAGCGACCATGCTTGTCGTAAGAGGCAACAAATGATCGGGTGGTCAGGCTCGCTGACTTGGTTGATGCATGTCATCGTATCCCAATTGCATTGATAGATGCTTATGATGTCAAATCACTGGATTGTCTGGTCCAGACTAGATTATTTCCAGACCGCCGTCATATAGCTGGAATATTGCTGAGTCTGGCGTTAATCAACAAACAAAATGTAACTGAAATACTGTTTAAAGCTGAAATAAACCAACTCGCTCACTCTTGGAGCTGGCAAACTCTATTTAGTTCCGGCCACAAAGATATGCCTGGAAGATGCTGATTGCAAATGTAAAACAACACAGCACATACCAGTTCAACCAAAGTGGTAGACATCTAAAACCTTCATCATTTTGCACTTCCCTCAACAAGATGCTGCTTATGACACTAAGTGTTATATCTGAAATACTGTTCTAAAACAGGCAATATGTCCACTCAAAGGAGGCAACGGCACACGGTGTGTGAAAAAGCTGCATGTCTGCTAGCACATGGAAAGCAAAATGTCGGTTTTGGCTAAAGATTCAGAAATGTCCCTAGCCAGACTGGCTACTGAAATGTTAACAGGGATTTTTTATACGCATATCTTTGTTGATCAAAACAAACAAAGTTCAGGAGATCATTACAACCTTAAAAATAACAAAATAAAATTATCTCTTTTTTTTAACAAATCAAGGTTACAAGATAAGAGTTACCCCCATTTGACTCATGATTTCTGCATTGATATTAAATTTCAGAAAAAATAAACTGTCACACATAAAAGCTGATGGAATTTGAAGCTGGCTAGTAGTTTTTAAGGCTAGGAATACACCTGGCCAGTTATATCATCAGTCATCAGCTGCAGGAATCAACTAACACGATGTTATTAATTGTGATGCCTCTTCTCTGTTTTTTTCCAGATCAAGGCATCCAGAAGCAACAAAGGACCGTTTGACTTCTCCCAGCCTAGGGTGATGCAAGACCTCAGTGGGGAACACAGTGTAAGGCACTTTGGACACTGTAGTATTAGAGCTGGGACGATACACCATCTGTGAGATCCATGAAGATCCGGGGTAGACATGTCACCGTATCCCAATTCCGTGGATCGGCGCTCATGATGTCAATCACTGGATTGTCTGGTTCAGACTCGATTATTTACAGACCGCCGTCATATAGCTGGAATATTGCTGAGTGCAGCGTTAAACAACAAACAAAACACTGTGGGTTTCCCCTTCCAAAACTTGTGATGTTTATGACATCTTGTCTGTTCTGAAGGATGTCTGAGGCGAATGCTATCTTAAACACAAACACTTTGCAGAGTTATGTCCATGGGGCATGCTTGAAACCTGTGATTGTGGATTCAGATCCTGGTTTGCCCTGATTATGTTTCTAGGTTTGTCAGCACTATACCTTGATTGTTGGTTTTAACAAAGTGGTAAACGTCTGAGACCTGCATCACTTCAGGCTTTCCTCCCCTATCAACCTGACACTCTGGGATACACCTGGAATACTTACTCCCTTGAACACGAACAGAATTATCATGTGTGATAGGTGTCGACTAAATCCTGCTTTAGATGTCTACCTGTGCTGTTGATTTCAAAAGATAATATCCCAGCAATATTGTGTAATTCCTTATAATAACAGTCTCTGTGGCAATATTGTGTAATATATTTATGGCAGACCCAGTGATTTGTCATCATAGATGCAATTAGGCATTTTAATTATATAAGTTTAACACAAACTGGGACCTGGGACCTACCAAAAATATCTTTTACCCGTAATTTCCAGTTGTCCAGTTTCCTATAATGATTATAAAGAAGGATCCAGCTGGGACCTACCAAAAATATCTACTTACCAATAATTTGTCTTTATCCAGTTTCTAGTACACAAAAATGAGTGTTTAATTACCAGCAGCACATGAACTCCTTTGATAGTTTACTCACTAAAACTGGCAACACTGTTATGTGGACAACGTTGGCAAAAGTTCATGGATAACAACTTCTTTATTAAATTGTAATAGCAACATTTTGGGATAGATCCTTTCACCATTGTCAAGCAAGACTGTCTACAAGGTTTAATACCAAAATGTCGCTATTACAATATGATAAAGAAGTTGTTATCCATCAACATTTGTCTACTTTGTTATCTGTCAACTTCTAAGAATTAACCTTAATTTGCTCACATCAGTCTGTATTTCAACTGGGGCGGTGGGGTAGCCTAGTGGTTAAAGCTTTGTCTCATCACGCCGAAGACCCAGGTTCGATTCCCCAGATGGGTTCAATGGTGTGAAGCCCATTTTCCGGTGTCAGCCGCCGTGACGTAAAACGGCGTAAAACCAGACTCACCAACATACTCACTCCCTGTATTTGAACAAATTTGAAAATTGGTTAAATATTTTGTATTCACATCACTAATATTTGTGAGTGAGGTGAGTGAGGAAGGTTGTTATCTAACATGGGTCTATATGATGTGTCTTCTACTTCAGGGTGCTATATGGACTATGAAGTTCTCTCCGTGTGGACGACTGTTGGTATGTAGATCCTATAGATCATATAATCAGGTGCTGGCGAAAAACTCCTTGATTTTAGCGCTTGACACTGATATGTCTACTTTAAAGTGTGGTTTGGGCCCGTAAAGATCCGGGGTAGAATATGTCTTCAATAACCCATGCATGCTGTAAGAGGCAACTGGGCTTGTCGTAAGAGGCAGCTTACGGGATCGGGTGGTCAGGCTCATTGACTTGGTTGATGCATGTCTTCACATAGTATAGATATCATATAGTGTTCTAGTAACCATTATGACTTCTTTTTTTCTTTCAGGCAACTGGTGGCCAGGACTGTGTGTTAAGAATCTGGGTGTTAAAAAGTGCCTACAGTTACTTTGAAGATATACGACAGCGATATAGTGATGGTGCGTTTAAAAATTGTTATATTTGATAAAGGATGTGTATCAGGATGCAGTGTTTGAAGTAAAGCATTAAAGTGAAAGGCCCTTGTCGTAACCCTAATCGCCTCAATTCCCCCTTCTCTTTCTTACATTGTTAGGACATACAGCTTTATGCAGTCTTACAAATTATTGGGGAGGGGTGGTGGTTCTTTGTGGGCGTGGGGGGTCCTGTAAGTATTTTACCTCGGCTTACATTAGGTCATGCAATGGAGCGTCTTCCATCATAACATTTAGGTTTTTAACCATAACTCCAACGATATCACCATTCCCTTGCTCAAAGGTTCCACCAAAGTGCAAGCGCAAAGTGCTTGGGCTTCCTATTACATGGAGCAGGGGCATGGGTGGCCCAGTCGTCTAAGGTGCCGGGATTCGCTGTACAGAGTTACATCCCTTGGGCACGCCAGAAACCTATGATTTGGGGGTTCGAATCACGGTTTGCCCCGATTATGTTTCTAGGTTTGCCAGCACCATACACGTCAACGACTTTGACCTAGGCTGAACATGTCATATTAGCAGGGAATATAAGAATTTCATGCTTGTTTTGTTTCTGTGGAGTTTATTAGGATCAATTTGTCATTGCCTAAGTGTTGAGGCATGGTGTTGGCTCCTCAAAAAGTGCCTTGGCTTCCAGGGAAACCTTCATCTTTAGGAAACTAAAGATACTATTGTCATCTTCTATATCTCAACTTTGATGTTATAATTTTCCTTATCATATTGAAACTGGGGGTTGAGTTGTTTATTGATCATGGACCTTTCTTTCTCTCTGTGTGTCAGCAAACATCACACCAGCTCAATCCCAGGAGAGTCTCAACACACTGGGGTCGGAGGCATCATCACTGGGACCAGGGGTAGGTTCAGGAGGCTGTGGTTGTAGAAGCTTGTGTGTCATGTTGTCACTTACATATTAGAGCACCCATGAAGATCCAGGGTAGAATAGGTCTTCAGCAACCCCTGTTAAAGGCGACTATGCTTGTCATTAGAGGTGACTAACGGAATTGGGTGGTCAGGCTCTCTGATTTGGTTGATGCATGTCATCATATCCCACTTGCGTGGATCGATGCTCATGCTGTCAATCACTGGATTGCCTGGTCCAGACCTGATTCTTTACAGACTGCTGTCATATAGCGGGAATATTGCTGAGTGTGGCATTAAACAACAAACAAACTACCAAAATATATTAGAACATGACTGATTGTGTTGAATGCTGCTTGGAATACTGGTAGAATTAAAGCTATACCATGTAGGGGGAACACTGAAGCAACAGAATCAGTTAATTCAAGTTTCACAATGCCATATCAATAGATCATAAACTTTCTCTGTGGGGCTAAAATTTACACATTTTTACAGACACGAAGTAAAAAATCCTCTGCCTTGAGCAATGACTGGGTTCGTACAGGCTTGATAAAGCCTTGAATTTCAAGGTCCCTCTTGAAAAACCTTGAATTCATACAAACGGACATATTCTTGTTAATCAAAGTATTAAAGCATACAAAAAGTGAGATTTATCATGGTGATAGGTTTGTGTGCCAAAGACACTGAAGAATTCATGACAGACTTTATTTATTTTTCTGTTTGATGAAAATGCATGATGGTCCTACTGTTTTTTAGGTCTTACAACTAATATATAGTATGTAGGATTTAATAAAATATTGACACACTAAGGCTAATAACCCTACTAAAAAGACTTGAAAATGCCACTTAGCTGCCTTGAAAAACCTTGAGTTTTATTTTTCCATATCTGTATGAGCCTTGCTGGAGTACCAACCACTTTGAGGAGAAACCTTAAGTTATAATGCTTGCACAGTTTGGGCAGGAGATTTCAGCAGGTATGCTCTAGAAAGGACTTTCGGGAAGGTCTGTATGAACCATGTGATGTCTTATGTTTGTTCTACAACTTGTCAATTGTCTTTACCCTTGCAGTCAACCTACCATCCAGATGAGGACGAGGAACACGGGCCTTTCTCCAAGAAGCCTTTCTGTACATACAGAGGTCACAGTGCCGACCTGCTGGATGTATCTTGGTCTAAAGTAAGTACTAACTTGTGTCCACTTATTGAGTTTGCCTGTATACACAGAGGCCACAGTGCCGACCTGCTGGATGTATCTTGGTCTAAAGTTATTATCCTTGAGCTTTGTGACTAAAATGAGGATTGGTTGGTCACCATGTGTGACTTCATTGTGATTCATGTGGGTCATGTACTACCAAACAGGTTTCCCTGGCCCAAACTGATTTATATATGGATAGCCATGATATAGATAGAATATGATGAACAGCCACAAAATATCACTTACAGGCTGCATAGTCAAGTCTTTCTCTCATGTAGCTTTATTTTTCTTTATTTCCAGAATTATTTTATCTTGTCCTCCTCAATGGACAAGACAGTGCGACTTTGGCACATCTCACGAAGGGAATGTCTGTGTACCTTTCAACACATAGACTTTGTCACAGCCATCGTATTTCATCCAAGGGTGAGTACACCGAGTGCCATTGTATCTTTAACAATACTTTAGACAACAAAATATGACTGTCTGATCATAAATGACATTGGTTCGTTTGATTGTATTCTACAACTACAGAAAACTACTGTCTCCGCCTTGTGGTGAGTGCATCATGCTACGCCATGATGAGCATCAAATAATCAGTGATGTTATAATTGTCCTAGCTAGGTCATGGTGTCCCAAGCTTGGTGCTTCTCTTCACAATCTTCCCTACAAGTCTATCACAATCTGCCCTCCCCACATATTGTCCTCTGTACTAAAACTGTATTCACAATTTGCCCTCAGATGACCTCACACTTATGTTTGGTACGATTATATATTCCAGGATGACCGCTATTTCTTGAGCGGGTCATTGGATGGCAAGTTACGACTGTGGAACATTCCTGACAAGAAAGTGACGCTATGGAATGAGGTGTCGGGATCAGCTAATCTCATCACCACAGCCAACTTTTGTCAGAACGGCAAATATGCAGTGGTGGGAACCTACGATGGAAAGTGTATCTTCTATACCACAGAGGTGAGGACCGGGTTGGTTGTCAGGGCAATGTCTGGGAGACATCTGTCTGTGGCAGGATACTATGTCACGTAGAAGTGTATCTTCTATACCACAGAGGTGAGGACCGGGTTGGTTGTCAGGGCAGTGGCTGGGAGACATCTATCTGTGGCAGGATACTATGTCACGTAGAAGTGTATCTTCTATACCACAGAGGTGAGGACCGGGGTGGTTGTCAGGGCAATGGCTGGGAGACATCTATCTGTGGCAGGATACTATGTGTCACGTAGAAGTGTATCTTCTATACCACAGAGGTGAGCACCTAAGTTGGTTGTCAGGGCAATGGCTGGGAGACATCTGTCTGTGGCAGGATACTATTTGTCGCGTGTCATGTTCCTTGGAACATCCTACTTGTTTTATATGCTGGATACACCTTGGGGCATATTCCCTAGGCAGGGGAGTGAACTGACTTTAAAAGGTTAGTCTCCACCCTTGCAAACTAGGCTGTAATTCCTGGGCTCCTGTGGTTATTACGAGTCATGTCCCTTCTGAGCTTCTGTGGACCAATCAGATTCCACCTCTCGTATCACTTGCATATGTATCAAACAAAATGACAGCGCCCAGGCAAGACGATCTGATCGATAATCAAGTTCTATAGTGTGATAAAACGGGTCTTACATCGCGAAGTGCATCAAATTGCGTGAGCACCTTGATTAAAAACATAAAAAGATTTAGATCGTATTTGTTGACAACGTGTTGGCGGTGTACATGTTTTGCAAATCCTGCAATCGACCGAAATCTACACGACAGTTTACTGACCGGATTTTGTTACGCGAAATGATGTTGCTTGGCCCATGTTTCCAACTAGAAATAATCATGCATTAGATTGGCTGAAATTGAGGGTCAAGGTCATTAAATGAAAACAATGATGGTTCCTTACCTGTAGTGGTTGCTGGTCATAGGAGATGATGAGTTTTTCAATTTTTAAAATGTATTTCATGATTTGTCACTGCAGCAACTGAAATACTTCACTCAAATCCATGTGCGTTCAACAAGGGGCCGCAATGCAAGAGGTCACAAGGTCACAGGCATTGAGCCAGTGCCAGGAGAGTCCAAGGTAAATACTGACTAAACGCAAACATCACCAGAGACTTTGAATTAACGAATATGTGGGGAATAATTTATGGACTAACCAACGAGCTAGGAGTAATTACAAAATGTCTGATCAAAGTGAATTAACGGTGTACATCCCAAGCCTTTGGCAAGAGATTAACTCAACCCAGTCATGTTGGATAGGCAGTTCGTAATAATGTATAAGAATATGTTCGGATTGAGGGGTTGTGTTTCATGGTACGTTCTAGCACTGCATTGGCACTATGTTGACATGTTGCGATTGCCTGATCTGTATGTCATCCTCCCCAATCCTACTTTGTTCTTCAGATGCTGGTTACATCAAACGACTCCCGTATCCGCCTCTATGATCTGGTAGACCTGACGCTGTCCATCAAGTACAAGGGAGGAACCAACACTTCCAGTCAGATCAAGGCTGGCTTCAGGTGACACCCACTGCTCCGCGCTTTGGTCTTGTTGTGGTCCACAGTGTGTTCATGGGGAGTGGGAGGGGCGTGTTGTGGTCTACAGTGTGATCATGGGGAGTGGGGTGGGAGTGTTGTGGTCTACAGTGTGTTCATGGGGAGTTTGGTGGGTGTGTTGTGGTCTACAGTGTGTTCATGGGGAGTTGGGTGGGCGTGTTGTGGTCCACAGTGTGTTCATGGGGAGTGGGGTGGGCGTGTTGTGGTCCACAGTGTGTTCATGGGGAGTGGGGTGGGTGTGTTGTGGTCTACAGTGTGTTCATGGGGTGTGGGGTGGGCGTGTTGTGGTCCACAGTGTGTTCATGGGGAGTGGGGTGGGCGTGTTGTGGTCAATAGTGTGTTCATGAGGAGTTGGGTGGGCGTGTTGTGGTCCACAGTGTGTTCATGGGGAGTGGGGTGGGCGTGTTGTGGTCAATAGTGTGTTCATGGGGAGTGAGGGGGCGTGTTGTGGTCAACAGTGTGTTCATGGGGTGGGCGTGTTGTGGTCCACAGTGTGTTCATGGGGAGTGGGGTGGGCGTGTTGTGGTCCACAGTGTGTTCATAGGGAGTGGTGTTGGGCGTGTTGTGGTCCACAGTGTGTTCATGGGGAGTGGGGTGGGCGTGTTGTGGTCCACAGTGTGTTCATGGGGAGTGGGGTGGGCGTGTTGTGGTCCACAGTGTGTTCATGGGGAGTGGGGTGGGCGTGTTGTGGTCCACAGTGTGTTCATGGGGAGTGGGGTGGGGTGTGTTGTGGTCTACAGTGTGTTCATGGGGAGTGGAGTGGGGTGTGTTGTGGTCCACAGTGTGTTCATGGGGAATGGGGTGGGCGTGTTGTGGTCCACAGTGTGTTCATGGGGAGTGGGGTGGGCGTGTTGTGGTCTACAGTGTGTTCATGGGGAGTGGGGTGGGCGTGTTGTGGTCTACAGTGTGTTCATGGGGAGTGGGGTGGGCGTGTTGTGGTCCACAGTGTGTTCATGGGGAGTGGGGTGGGCGTGTTGTGGTCCACAGTGTGTTCATGGGGAGTTGGGTGGGTGTGTTGTGGTCCACAGTGTGTTCATGAGGAGTGGGGTGGGCGTGTTGTCGTCTACAGTGAGATCATGGGGAGTGGGGTGGGCGTGTTGTGGTCCACAGTGTGTTCATGGGGAGTGGGGTGGGGTGTGTTGTGGTCCACAGTGTGTTCATGGGGAGTGGAGTGGGTGTGTTGTGGTCCACAGTGTGTTCATGGGGAGTGGGGTGGGCGTGTTGTGGTCTACAGTGTGTTCATGGGGAGTGGGGTTGGGCGTGTTGTGGTCCACAGTGTGTTCATGGGGAGTGGGGTGGGCGTGTTGTGGTCTACAGTGTGTTCATGGGGAGTGGGGTGGGCGTGTTGTGGTCCACAGTGTGTTCATGGGGAGTGGGGTGGGCGTGTTGTGGTCCACAGTGTGTTCATGGGGAGTTGGGTGGGTGTGTTGTGGTCCACAGTGTGTTCATGAGGAGTGGGGTGGGCGTGTTGTCGTCTACAGTGAGATCATGGGGAGTGGGGTGGGCGTGTTGTGGTCCACAGTGTGTTCATGGGGAGTGGGGTGGGCGTGTTGTGGTCCACAGTGTGTTCATGGGGAGTGGGGTGGGCGTGTTGTGGTCCACAGTGTGTTCATGGGGAGTTGGGTGGGTGTGTTGTGGTCCACAGTGTGATCATGGGGAGTGGGGTGGGCGTGTTGTGGTCCACAGTGTGTTCATGGGGAGTGGGGTGGGCGTGTTGTGGTCCACAGTGTGTTCATGGGGAGTGGGGTGGGGTGTGTTGTGGTCCACAGTGTGTTCATGGGGAGTGGAGTGGGTGTGTTGTGGTCCACAGTGTGTTCATGGGGAGTGGGGTGGGCGTGTTGTGGTCCACAGTGTGTTCATGGGGAGTGGGGTGGGCGTGTTGTGGTCCACAGTGTGTTCATGGGGAGTTGGGTGGGTGTGTTGTGGTCCACAGTGTGTTCATGAGGAGTGGGGTGGGCGTGTTGTCGTCTACAGTGAGATCATGGGGAGTGGGGTGGGCGTGTTGTGGTCCACAGTGTGTTCATGGGGAGTGGGGTGGGCGTGTTGTGGTCCACAGTGTGTTCATGGGGAGTGGGGTGGGCGTGTTGTGGTCCACAGTGTGTTCATGGGGAGTTGGGTGGGTGTGTTGTGGTCCACAGTGTGATCATGGGGAGTGGGGTGGGCGTGTTGTGGTCCACAGTGTGTTCATGGGGAGTGGGGTGGGCGTGTTGTGGTCCACAGTGTGTTCATGGGGAGTGGGGTGGGGTGTGTTGTGGTCCACAGTGTGTTCATGGGGAGTGGAGTGGGTGTGTTGTGGTCCACAGTGTGTTCATGGGGAGTGGGGTGGGCGTGTTGTGGTCTACAGTGTGTTCATGGGGAGTGGGGTTGGGCGTGTTGTGGTCCACAGTGTGTTCATGGGGAGTGGGAGGGGCGTGTTGTGGTCCACAGTGTGTTCATGGGGAGTGGTGTTGGGCGTGTTGTGGTCCACAGTGTGTTCATGGGGAGTTTGGTGGGTGTGTTGTGGTCCACAGTGTGTTCATGGGGAGGTGGGATGGCCTCATGTTTTGATCTGTGTTAATGGGGAGATCTGTGTAAATGATATTTTGAAGATACCTGAAAAAGAAGAAGAATTAATTTTAAACAAGTCTATAGAAAATGACCGAAGAGTAAAAATATATTGAATACTCAAAGAAAACTAATAATACCCAAGTTAATAGTTAATGGCACAAAAAATTATCTGTGAAGCTCATTCTTGGTCCCCCCTCTCAAGATATGGTTGGAATACTGTTCACAGATATGTAAATCAATACTATGGTATTGCATCTTACTTTGGGAAATTTCTGGTGTCGCCCACTGTGGACATATTGCTTAAAGCGGCATAAAACCATACTCACTCACTCACTCACTTTGGGAAATACTCCTGGCATGCTCTCACAAGGGAAATACAAGATCTGACACTCATTTCGTAAAATACTCATTGCTTGTTCTTTCAGTCCGAGCGGCAAGCACATCATCTGTGGCTCCGAGGACCACTTCATCTATGTGTGGAAGACTCACCATGAGTTCAAGTTCTCCTCGTCTAGGAGAGATAGGAGTGACTACTGGGAGGCCATCAAAGGTAAGTGCCGACCAACAGACTTTTGTGAAGACTTCACAGGAACTGTGTGGTAAAAACTCAATAAAACTCGATGTGTTAGTACTAAAATTTCAACAAGGGTCTCCTGGCTCTAACTTTTACTGTTCATGTGTTCAGGTTGGTTACATTTTCTGTATTTAATACTCTTACTTTTTAATCCAGACTTAAAATATACACTTGGAAATTTTCATGGGTTGATTTTTTTCAATTCTTTAAAGAAGTTTGGAATGACAGAGGATTTTACCGACATGTTGAAACTGCGTCCTCCTTCATCATCATTGTTTTGTTGCGGGGATTTCTGAAGTATGTTTTGGAAGATGCTGGGATGTCACACCTCTGTCTGTGAACTCAAGTCAATTATTGCTCAGTGCGGTGTTAAACAAACAAACAAAATGATTTGATAGAATAGATTCAGTATATTAGCATACAGTAAACTATGGTTATAACAAACTCATAGGGACCACTAACGCTTGTTTGTTATAACAGTAGTTTGTTAAAGCATATATACAGCAAATGGCCAGGACCAAAAAAACACCCAGTTTGTTATATCCGTCAGTTTGTTATAAATGTGTCCGTTATGAACATGGTTTACTGTGTTTTGTTGACAATTTTTATCTGACGTTTAAGACGAATAATTTCCATTGTTTCCAGTTCACAATGCAGTAGTGACAGCTGCCATTTTTGCACCCAATCCGTCCCACTTCTTCAAAAAGAAGCCAATAGAGGGAGCGGAGAAAAGCCAGGAATCTGAAGAACAAAGGGAAATAATCGTGTCAGCTGATTTTACTGGAGCGATCAAAATCATGACCAACTCTCCATGTTTGTGATACTTGATGGTATCCTTAGCTTTAGGCCACATAGAGCGATGAGTAAGACATTGCGATACCAGTGTGACCCTTATTGAGGTGTCATGAAAAATATAGAAGACTGATAATGCGTGCCCGGGATATAGTTTGGCATTAGATTTACCATCTCCTGGAACATTCCGAGTTGATAGTGTTGCTGATAGGACGCTCAAGATCAGCTTCTAGAGTCACATCAAAGCCTTATTGATGGTCAGTGTTTGGAAGAATGTTTCATGAACAGGAAGATTCCCTACATTTGTGAAAAGTGTGTTGATAATCTTGAAACAAGACGAAAATGGTGCATTCATTCAAACTGTAGAGATTGATCTGTGATGGCTCATTTACAAAGCAGACGAGGGCAATGGGTAGCATTGTGGTTAGGGTGTTCTTTTAGCACAGACAGTCCGAGTTTGATCCTCCACAGGGTGTTCCTATGGCCCATTTACACAGCAGACGAGGGCGATGGGTAGCATTGTTGTTAGGGTGTTCTTTTAGCACAGACAGTCCGAGTTTGATCCTCCACAGGGTGTTCCTCAGAAGCTTGTGATCTCACCGTTATGGCTGCTGCAAACCCACTGACGATCTGAACCAGGGTCCTGGCTGAGTAGGATTGTCTGTAGGCCAGGACTGTGTTCACATTAACTCACACTGGTTGTTCACCGCATCAGAATGTTCCTTGCAGACTTCTATGCCAGTAAGATCAGTTGGATCACACTATCTACTGAAGAAATTAGTCCGGGAGTCGGGTCAGGAATGGCTGTCAGAACATGGATGTCGTTGTCTTCTAAATATGCAACTCATTGCACATTCTTCACCATCCAAAAGTCTACATGTCTGGACAACAGCAATACCATTAAAGTCCTTTGACTCTGATACGCTACCTCTCTGCATGAAGGTTATGTGATAGGTCCATAGAAGGTTGCGTACCCTGCGCGAACTTTGACAGCCAGATCTTAATGAAGGAGGTGTAGGTTCTTGCAGCAGATATAAATTTTCTAAAGTTATTTAGCTTCATTTATTTGCCATCTTGAGATTAAGTAAAGAAGGCCGACACAGAACTAGTATTTCTTGGCTGGAGCTCCCATTTGTATGTAGATGCCAAAATGCTCACAAATGACAGGGTGTATGAAATATCAACAACAATAAGATTATGTACTTTCAGAAGGGGGCAATTTAGTCTTTGAAAGGTTTTTAGAGGTGATAGACATAAGGAAGAGAATTTATGGATGTCAACTTCTTTATTATGAGGAACACAACGTTTCCGAGTCTTTGAAAGGCATTTAGAAGTCATTCACAGTAGGAAGAGAATTTATGGATGTCAACTTCTTTATTATGAGGAACACAATGTTTTGGAGTATATGCTTACTCCTTCATCAGGTGAATGAATGCTATAAAGCAGAGAGCATATATATATGTACATGTGAGAACAACAAAAGTAAAAAGATGACATAGGTGGAAACTTTACAAGCGAAGCCAACAGATAATTGGCGCTAATAGGTGATTAGCACTAGACAATGGAAGCCAACACTGTACAGAAAATAGCGCTGATTGTTGATTGTGGTGGACAACTGTTAGCCACAATAATTTAGGTTGTTTTTGCAATACAGAAATCATACATGCTGGTCTAAGTGCTTCACTCACTTATAACAAGAAAGTTAGAGGTCTCACCACTGATTAGCGGATACGAAAGTTTTAAACTGGTCATTTATTAAAGAGATGGGTGGGTCAGAGGATTTTGATGTACTGAAAATAATGAAACTTTCCTTATGCTTGTCATTGTTTTGGTTGACCCTCCTAATGTCCCTGTACAATTTTTCATGACTCTCTCTGAAAAGACAAAATACAAAATCACCTTATTTATTTTAGTCTTAAATGTCCATTTTTTTCATGACCATACCAAAATGTGTATTTTTTTTTATGTCCCTCCCCCAGAGACTCATACTTTGGGGGTGGGTGGGGGGTGGGTTGTGGGTGGTGGTCGGGTAGCCTAGTGGTTAAAGCGTTTGCTTGTTACGGGTTCGATTCCCGACAGGGGTGTAGTGTGTGAAGCTGATTTCTGGTGTCCCCTGCAGTGATATTGCTGGAATATTGCTAAAATCAACCTCACTGACTCACTCACTCATAATATTGGGGGACCCTCCCCTGCTTCCCTCTGACCTCCTATGTAGCTGTCCTTAGGTCTTCATGCAGAGAGGTATTGCATCAACAAAAGATGGGATTTTATTGACCTTGGGTCAACAGACCTATTCAGTGCCAAATTCTTAACTTGTTGATGTATAGTTGTTCAAATGGGCAACAGTCTTTTATTCATAATATCTCGATAAACTATTATATAGCAACTGGTTTGTTGTTATCAGCCTACACAATTTAAAACACATTTTGTTTCCATTGTTACACAGTTTTTTACCCTTCAGTGCAGGCTATTTAATTAGATCTTTGCATAATTTGTCTGTTGTATTAGGTGGCTGTGTTTTGAAGTGTCCATCTTCTCTCTTAATGTGTATGCTTGTCGTAGGAGGCAACTAACAGCTCGCTCGATACAATGTTCGAAGCCAATTTCTGGTGTCCCCCGCCGTGATATTGCTGGAATATTGCTAAAAGTGGCGTTAAACCATACTCACTCACTCACTCATGTTTTAGCAGCAAGAAAAGAACAGTCAATCGTGAAATCTGAAATATGTCTTCGATAATTAAGACTCCATAATACTGTTTACTTTCTGAATAGCACAAACTATTATTACACAGTCAACTGTATATTGTAAACTCCAATTGCCAATCATAATCACAGAGTTATATCTGAAATTCACTATTTATTTGGAGATTCATGTATCGTTAGAAACTATGCTTTGTCTACATGTATTTTAGTCTCTTGCTGTATCCAGAGCCCACTTGTTTATTGGGAATCAGGATGTCACACTACATTGTTATAGTCAGACCTGTTAAATGTACAGTTGTTGGAATAGGCAGGTTGGAGTAGCAGAGAAGTTCAAGTGTTGGCACTCGCAGTTCCATTAAGATGGTTTAATCCCACTGCAAGTAATCTTTCCAAGCACCCCTTAACTAAGCCCTAAAGTTTCCCTGATAGTCCTCCTTTCTTTAAGGTATAATACACGTTGCTTACAGACAATAGAGCTGTGTAGAAGGGGGTGCATGTATTACAGACATTGAGTTTTGACTAGAGAAGAGAAACATTACTGCGGGCATGTTAACATTGGAGATAGCATCACGGCATATTTTTTAGTGATTTGTAATTACAGTATTTTTTATTAAATGGTGAACAGTTTATCTATGCTTTGGTATTTATGGTCCATTTATTTACTGCCGTCAAACAATTTAATTGAAATATGGTGAATTTCATTTTGTCCATATGTGGAAAGAGACCAACAGATTCACAGCAACTCACTGAGCAGACTAACATTGGCGCCTTGAAATTAACCTTAGCTGTCAGAGAATGAATACACTATGTTATAATTTGACTTAAACAATGCATCATGCCTCCAGGCCAGTCTCTGATTGGTCGATATCAAATGGTAACCCGTCAAACTGTTCCATACCTAAAACACCTACCTGGTTATGCCAAATGCTAAAAAGCAGTGATGAAGTGTTTGTACATATCAGGGGGAAATACAACAAGATCAAGTAGTACAGTAAAAGTTGCAGTTATTTCCTTTCAACCTTTTCACTTAACAATCTTCTAAGTTATAAAGTGAGGCATTGTTTACTGGTAGTTCGACATTGGTTTGTTCTCTACTGCTGGATCTCAGACATCGTTGCATAAATGGTTTAATAAGTGTCCCCTGTGTCAATTGTCACAGTGTCCAGGACGCTTATTATGATGAAAATGGTAGGTACAATTAGCCATTCATAGTATTGCATGCAGCTACATTCCTGCAATCCTCAAAGAAGCGGTGTATGATCTCACTCTCTTGAAGTACATAGTGGTCATTAATCTGGACAGCACAGGGACTGTTAACACTCTTGAAGTACATAGTGGTCAAGGTAGACACAATTTTGTGGATAACAACTTCTTTAATACTGTGAAATGCGACGTTTCAGTATAGATCCTTATACCGTTGTCAAGCAAGTGGTCATTAATCTGGACAGCACAGGGACTGTTTACTCTCTTGAAGTACATAGTGGTTATTAATGTGGACAGCACAGTGACTGTTAACTCTCTTGAAGTACATAGTGGTCATTAATGTGGACAGCACAGGGACTGTTAACCCTCTTGAAGTACATAGTGGTCATTAATCTGGTCAGCACAGAGACTGTTAACTCTCTTGAAGTACATAGTGGTCATTTATCTGGACAGCACAGGGACTGTGAACTCTACTGGATGAGGAAATTACTCTAAATGGACAAAACGTTCACTTTTTTCATATCATAAGAATTTTTATTCCAGAATAATTAGAACTAATGGTACAGCTACACTTCAGAGCCTCAGGGTAGGCCAGGTGGCATGCCATGGATAAGAGCCTTTTTAATGAAGTTCATTAGTCTGAAGACTCAAGATTCTTATGGTAAACAGCAAAGGGAGTATTTATGAGCATGCCAAAGATGTCAAACATTTTGATGCTGATGTTTGATGTTGAAGGTCTGTCATAGTCATGTTGTTTTGATATTTTTTGTTTTTAATATTTAAATGATTGTTTGTGGTCCTATTCATATTTCTTAAGGCAGCTGATAAAAAGTGTCATAATAAATAACCATGGTACCAAGTTGCAATGGTTACACATTGTCTTGGTTTTCATGTTTTGCCTGTTCATCTAACTTTTAAGACAGTACTTTATGTTTTATTTTGAGATGAGTGTATTTTTGTCAGATTAAGAATGTACCTCAATGTATTTCCCAATCTGTATCCCCTAGTTCATCATTTTGAAGTATCATACAATATTGATGGAGTCAAGATGCATGGTACACAGGGGGAGGCAGGTTTGGCAGTCCACGATTGCGAAAAATGGAGAAAACTCGATTCTGATTGGTCAATCAAGGGATTCCAATAATGGTAAATTTAACAGCGGATGTCGAAGCCAAATCACTCACTGTGGAATATGATGTTTAAAGTACCATATTCGACATAATAAGCATGAAGGGAGCTCTCAAAATCAGAAATAGGGGGCTCTTATTATAATATAATTTTGGTGAGAGAAAAAAACAGAGTTGAAAGATCATAAATATTGTAGTTTATACTGACAGCCTGTAATGATACTAAAGAAAAGTCTGTGTGTATTATACACGACAGATATATTTCCAAGAATTTAATTGCCCATAATTAAGGGTGCATGTAACACACCAGTGTGTATTATACATGAATAAATAAGTCGTATGTACATTAATCAATCGGAGCGGGTGCTAATTGGGATTGTTCACTAGCCAATATATTAGCAAATATCACCATGGGTGCTTATTAGAGCGGGGCGCCTATTACGTCAAATATGGTAAGTGTACTCATCAGTTCCAGGCAGGGTTTAGGAAGGCATGTAGTTTCAAATAAAGAAGTGAGCAAAAATAGTTGGCAAAAATATCAAGTTGTATTCATTGAATATATTGAAACTGAGTGTACAGAGAGAGTTTTGCAGATATTCCATTCATTTGTTCACTGTTTGGGCATCCTGTCTGCAGAATGTGATTCATACACTCGTCATTAAGTTAACACTCCTGTCAATCTGCTCATTTATAATTGATTTGTAACAGGAGATAAACACACTGTGTTTTCAATGTAGAGCTAGGTTACCTGTAGATTTAACCATGCTAAATTTAACATTTGAAACCTCACGCTGTGCTTTGGGTTCCAAATTCAATTTAGTGTATGTTTATCTCCATTCTACCATGACTAGCTCTTGGGCTCTTGGTTGTCAGCAAATATATTGAGTGAAGTGGCACTGGTTGAGTCCAGTGTTTTGAGTGGATTGTCGATCTGAATTACGGAATCACCGACGACAACCTTTTACGAAAATATGGCGCTGTATATACTCAAGCACTTTGTTCACACCGAAATACTTCACTCGAACACATGACAGGCATTGAAAGCATATAAGCACGGCAGCTTGGTAAGCTAACATGAAGAAGGCATCCTCAAAGCAAACTAAGAAAGCTTTGCCAGGCTTTCATTCTACACTGCACGTCACCATTATGACGTCATATCACTCATTGTGATGCAAAAGATACACATCACAGTCGTATATAGAAAGGTGCCAAATACCAAGCTCTCTATTGTCTCCAAAACGTAAATACATTCTCTTTGTAGATTTCTATCGTGATTTCTGCACGAAATGTATTGCTACACATCTTTCGAATATTGTAGTAACCGCAT